TAAAGTTAACAAACGCCGCCCCCCCTCGACCAACTTTAGATGCCTCGTTCTCAGCCCGATTTTATGCTACAATGTTCGTTTTGGTATCAAAAAATAGCCCTGAATTTCAGCTATTTTTTGATACCAAAACGAGCACTCTAGCATAAACCAGTGTCGAGAAACACTCGTTCAAAGCTAGACTACGCAACACTCCGCACCATCATTATGGGGGTGCGGTACTATTACAGTATTTACGGTAAGTACTTTACGGGAGTACTTTACGGATTGGTTCTTTTAGCGGTTTTAGAGTCTATGGAAAGTTGTCAGTCATCAATTGACCTAGATCAAGGAAATTACGGTTGTAAAGTAGCCTTGGGAAAACTCTAGCTCTTGATTGGAGCATAAAAAATGGGAAAAAGATGCGAACTATTGTATTAAAATAGCTGTTCTAGAGTCTAAGGAAAGTTATCAGTCATCAATTTCGCATTTTGACCTAAGCCCGGGCAATCTCAGCTGTAAAATAGCCTTTGGAAAACTCTAGCTCTTGACTGGATCATAAAAAATGGGGAAATAGATTTTCCGACGTTGAACAACTGACCACAACGATGAAAAATTGGCGGTGATTTTGTGGAAAGATTGGCGGTGGGCGAAATTCAATAATTTACAAGTTTTATAGTTGAATTATTGGATAAAATAGAGATTCGGTCGGGTCGGGTCGGGTCGGGTCAGGTCGGGTCGGGTCGGGTCGGGTCGGGTCGGGTCGGGTCGGGTCGGGTCGGGTCGGGTCGGGTCGGGTCGGGTCGGGTCGGGTCGGGTCGGGTCGGGTCGGGTCGGGTCAGGTCGGGTCGGGTCGGGTCGGGTCGGGTCGGGTCGGGTCGGGTCGGGTCGGGTCGGGTCGGGTCGGGTCGGGTCGGGTCGGGTCGGGTCGGGTCGGGTCGGGTCGGGTCGGGTCGGGTCGGGTCGGGTCGGGTCGGGTCGGGTCGGGTCGGGTCGGGTCGGGTCGGGTCGGGTCGGGTCGGGTTGGGTCGGGTCGGGTCGGGTCGGGTCGGGTTGGGTCGGGTCGGGTCGGGTCGGGTCGGGTCGGGTCGGGTCGGGTCGGGTTGGGTTGGGTCGGGTCGGGTCGGGTCGGGTCGGGTCGGGTCGGGTCGGGTCGGGTCGGGTCGGGTCGGGTCGGGTCGGGTCGGGTCGGGTCGGGTCGGGTAGCCATGAAGGTGATCAATCAAATTCTTTTATCAAAATCGTTTAGCTTCAAATTATGCATTAAAATAGCTTTTCTCTAGATCAAAAAGATCAAAAAGAACTTTTTCTTTTGAACTTTTCTTTCATTTATTAATTATTTTCTAATAATAAACTATTTTTAGTCTTTCTTGGTTTCAATTTGACTCAATTATATTTAAAATAATCTTTTCTTAAAGAAATTTCTTTTTTGAAAGTCTTTATTACAGTCTTTTGGAGAAATCTAATGGAAAAACTCTTTTTTTAGGTTAACGAGAACAGAAAAGAGATGAATTTTGGAATTTTGAGCAAATCTTTAACCAAAAAACAACAGAGAAATGCTCTTATGCTTTGTTTTTAAAGTATTTTCGAGTTTTGAATGATTCTGGAGCGATCTGGAGCGAACTGGAGCGATCTGGAGCGAACTGGGCGATCTGGAGCGAACTGGAGCGATCTGGAGCGAACTGGAGCGATCTGGAGCGAACTGGAGCGAACTGGAGCGATCTGGAGCGATCTGGAGCGATCTGGAGCGATCTGGAGCGTTTACTATTGAGCAAAAAATCTTCAACGCATAAATTCAAAACTTTTCAAGAGTTTAAGTGTAAATTTTCAACTTTTAAGCAATTCTGGAACTCATAGTGTTTAGGGATTTGAGTTTTACGCTTTTAAAAAAGGAAAAAGAGAAAGAAGAGCTTTTGTCACCTTAAAAACATCAAGAATTCATTGCGCGAATCGGATTTTGCAGAGTAAAATTGCAAAGGTCAGTCGGGGAGTTTCTGGAGTGGCTGAAAAGGGGTTGAAAAGGATGAAGAAGGAGAGAAAGATATGAATTTTTGATGAAACTCTCCTCACTTGATCCGAGAATTCTCAATGAACACACACTTTCACCAAATATATGAGTTTTGGTGCGGATTTGGTGGGAATCCACTTTCCTCGTTTCCAATTTAATATTTGATGAACGTTTGGTAGAGCTCAAACCAGTAGCCAGCTTAAACTAGTAGCCAGCTCAAACTAGTAGCCAAAAGCAGAGATTTGGATAAAATGATGCCAAGATTTGGCTATATTTCAACTAAATACTCTAGATTTCGTTCATGTTTTAAAAAGAACCATTCTTATTGCTTTATGAGATTTACTGAGATTACTGTGACTCAGAATTGTTAAAGAAAGTCAGAAATTTTCCTATCAGAAAGAAAATAACAATTTTTAAAGGAATCTTTTCTGATTTACGCTAGATTAGATGGATATTATTGCTAGTGGAAGAAAAAAAGGAATTTTAGGGCCTAGAATTTGTCTTTGAAGTATTTGGCTAAGTATTTGACTATTTCGAGAGGCTTATACTGTAGCCAGATCAGAAGCCCATCAAAAGTCAGCTTAAATCTAAAGCCTAAGGTTCTTAAAAGCTTAGAATCCTAAAATACAATTTCAAAGCTCAATTCAATGTCAATTCCCTTCTTATTCCCCAAATCAACCCGCATAAACCCTCAGCTTTCATTCGGGGGTGTAGCTCAGTGGTAGAGCGCTCGCTTTGCATGCGAGAAGTCCAGGGTTCAAACCCCTGTTCCTCCAAAGGTTTTTGGGAAATTTTGTTCCTCCAATTTTGGGAAATTTTAGATTTAGGAGACCTTAGACAAGAGATTATTCTATCTTGCAAGGGATCCACATGTACTCACGGACGTCGATTGCCCCCAAAAAGTCATCCCGTTTCAATTACCCAACTTTTTGAAGCTTTTAACTAGTCTAAGACTGAGCGAATGCCATCCTTTTCCAATTGTAGAGATGATATCCTGATAAACCATCCTGATTAAAGCCATCTAGCTCTCAAAAGAAGCATTGTAGTGCGCTGAAAGCAAGCTGTCATTACAAACTAAAACTTTACGTTAAATTTGAGTCGTTCTGAGGATGGAAATTAGTTTAAAAATAGAAATCAGTAAAGAAAACAAATTTTCTGATGATTGTTGGTGGTTTTAAATCTTGATCTAGATTAGATAGTGCTCAACAATCACTTTCTTTCTTCTTTCTGTCTTCTTTCCTTCTTCTTTCTTCTTTCCTTCATCTTTCTGTCTTCTTTCTGTCTTCTTTCTTCTTTCCTTCATCTTCCCTTCATCTTTCTTCTTTCCTTCTTCTTTCCTTCTTCTTCCCTTCTTCTTTCCTTCTTCTTTCCTTCTTCTTCCCTTCTTCTTCCCTTCATCTTTCTTCTCCATCAATCACTAATCTCTCTCTCCTCTTCAATTACCTAATAGTTTTCTTTTAGAAATCTTTATGATGTGTCACTATGGGAAACAAGGGATTTAATGACAAATAGTGCACAAATCTTTTCAAATTTCTTTTAACAGAAGTTTCTTTCCAATTTCTAATATCATAAGTTGTTTTTAAAAAGACTTTAACAAAATCTACGTTTATTATAAGAAATAGATTGAGAAAAAAAAGTGAAAGCATTAAAAATGAAAAGAAATAAAAGTCAAAAATTCATTTCCATTACCGGTAAGCATCTTTGAATATTTTGTGATAGAAAATAAAGTAATAGCAATATTCTCTTACTATCAAAAGTTAGCTATCATAAGCTATCAAAAGTTAGCTATCATAAGTTAGCTACCATGAGTTAGCTACCATAAGTTAGCTACCATAGCTACCAATCAATCAGGCTAGGGTAGCTCTGTTACATTTTAAAGGTAGTTTACAGCAACTAAGACATGCTTTAAGGGTAGTTGAATCATTTTTAGAGTACCTATTCGGATTGTTGGGAACAAGTCGCTAAATTTATGTGTCGGCTAACTGGTGTAATTACGGATTACAAGCTTTCATAGCTTTGCTACTTTAGCTTTGCTACTTTCATAGCTAACATTTGATTACCGTACTCCAAAAGACGAGGTTACGGTAGCTTTTTTACATCTTAAAGCCTTCTATTTCTCTTTAAAACACACTTTAGTGATAGTTGAATCATTTTTAGAGTGCCTATTCGGTTTTTTTGAGAACAAATCGCTGCCTATTTGTACTAGTACTTGTACTATTGTTAATTTGTGCATTTTCTTTCTTTAATAAACAAAAAAACAAAAAACAAAGAAACATTTTATCTAGAATATCACAGAATAATCAAAAAAAAAAAGAAAATTTTAAATAAAAAGCACCAAGAAAAGTTTGTTTTTCTCATTGAAAAATTTGAGGTTAAAGGAGTGAGTGAAAGCACAAAAAAAAGAGAGATTGGAATGCATTTTGAATAGAATTTTGAAAGATTTAGCACAACCAAAAGAGATATGAATAGATTTAAATTTGAATTATGGTTTAAGCAAAGCTCCTAAAGCTTAGAAAAGCTTAGAAAAGCTTAGAAAAGATTAGAAAGGCTTAGAAAAGTTCAGAAAAGCTTAGAAAAGCTTAGAAAAGTTTAGAAAAGCTTAGAAAAGATTAGAAAGGCTTAGAGAAGCTTAGGAAAGCTTAGAAAGGCTTAGGAAAGCTTAGAAAAGCTTAGAAAGGCTTAGAAAAGATTAGAAAAGCTTAGAAAGGCTTAGAAAGGATTAGAAAAGCTTAGAAAGGCTTAGGAAAGCTTAGGAAAAGCTTAGAAAGGCTTAGAAAAGATTAGAAAAGCTTAGAAAAGCTTAGGAAAGCTTAGAAAGGCTTAGAAAGGCTTAGGAAAGCTCAGGAGAGCTTAGGAAAGCTTAGAAAGGCTTAGAAAAGCTTAGAAAAGATTAGAAAAGCTTAGAAAAGCTTAGAAAAGATTAGAAAAGCTTAGAAAAGCTTAGAAAAAGCTATCGTAAGCGGTTTTTGAGATTACGATAGCTTTTCTTGAAGAGGATTCTTAGGAAACGATTTTATTTCTTGAATAATCCATTCTTTGCAGCTCGACAAATCAAATGTCGCATAGAATGAGCATCCAAACGACGAAAAGCATCAGAATGAGTTATAGCTGTCATATGATCCATGCAACTAAAGATATTGATAAATTTGATTTCTTAAATTCTGAAGGAAATCAGGTGTTTCTTCTTCCTTCCTTCCTTCCTATCTTCCTTCCTTCCTTTCTCTTCCTACTTTGACAAGAAAATATCAGATAGCTCAGTGGCTAGAGCAATTGAAGTCTCGTCCCAAAAGCTCTCCAGCTTTGAGATCTCAAAAGCTTTGAGATTTCGAGTTCAATAGAATTGCTAATTTTGCGTTTCTAAGTAAAATCTTGAAGTAAAACTAGCTAAATAAGCTATAAATTCTACTTTTATGAGAAATGGGGAAGTCTAGGTGGAGCTAAAGAAAAATCTGGCCGGAATTCTTGTGCCCAAATTTTTCAGAGCCAAAAAATTGATTTTTTGTTGGATTTTTCTGGAATTTGAACGGGTTTTTAAGCTTAAAGCTAAAGCTTTTTTAAAGCTTCTTAAGCTTAAAGCTAAAGCTTTTTAAAGCCTTAAAGCCTTAAAGCTTAAAGTTTATAAACTAAAGACTCTCTATAACTTTATATAGCAGAAAACTCTATATAACGGAATGAAGTTTTGGTCCCAGCCGACGCTAAGCTATACAGTGCGCAAATTGACAGGCCAATCCTGACAGGATCCAGATTGACAGGCCAATCCTGACAGGATCCAGATTGACAGGCCAATCCTGACAGGATCCAGATTGACAGGCCAATCCTGACAGGATCCAGATTGACAGGCCAATCTGACAGGATCCAGATTGACAGGCCAATCCTGACAGGATCCAGATTGAAGGCCAATCCTGACAGGATCCAGATTGACAGGCCAATCCTGACAGGATCCAGATTGACAGGCCAATCCTGACAGGATCCAGATTGACAGGCCAATCCTGACAGGATCCAGATTGACAGGCCAATCCTGACAGGATCCAGATTGACAGGCCAATCCTGACAGGATCCAGATTGATAGGCCAATCCTGGCAGGATCCAGATTGACAGGCCAATCCTAGCAGGATCCAGATTGATAGGCCAATCCTGGCAGGATCCAGATTGATAGGTCATCCTGGCAGGATCCAGATTGATAGGTCATCCTGGCAGGATCCAGATTGATAGGCCAATCCTGGCAGGATCCAGATTGATAGGTCATCCTGGCAGGATCCAGATTGATAGGTCATCCTGGCAGGATCCAGATTGATAGGCCAATCCTGGCAGGATCCAGATTGATAGGTCATCCTGGCAGGATCCAGATTGATAGGTCATCCTGGCAGGATCCAGATTGATAGGCCAATCCTGGCAGGATCCAGATTGATAGGTCATCCTGGCAGGATCCAGATTGATAGGTCGATCCAAAAATCCAGGATCTAATGATCTACTGATCTACTGATCTACTAATCTACTAATCTACTAATCTACTAATCTACTAATCTACTAATCTAATTATCTACTGATCCACTGATCTCTTAATTTACTGACCTACTGATCTACTGATCTAATGATCTAATAATCTAATGCTCTAATGATCTACTTACAATTTATAGCAATGATCCTCGAGCTCAGGTGCATCGAATTTTAAAGCAGCTGAATAGAGAACAGCAGCATTGTCGATACAAACACTTTTCCGCAACAATGAAGCACAACGAGCTTTGAGATCCATCTCAAGGTAACAATTTGAGAGTTCAAGCAAACCTAAACATCAGTTTTATAAATTCTTTAACTGAAAATCTTGTTGTTATCAATTTTAAATATTTAAAGCTTTGAGTAAATTTGCTTCTGTTGCGTTTGGCAATATTGAGCGTTGAGCGTTAGCATTTAGCAAAAACTGATTACAGATTCGGAATCAGCGTGAAAAACTGCATCAAATAAGCTATTTTCTGAGTCAAAACCATTATAAGTTAACAAGATTCCTTAGTTTAAACATTTTGAACAACTGATCACACTTTAAACGGCTATAACTTTTTCTAGAGATAATATTATGCTTAACTTTTTGATATCATTGAATAAAGGACATTTCAGGCTTTCAAATGATACCAAATAGAGCTTGATTGGATAATCCAGTCAAGCTTTTTTCAATCCAAGAAAATCAAAGCCAACTCAAAACAAGAAACCCGAAAAACTTGTATGCTATAAATCTCGCGATAGAGAAGCGTTTGACAAAAACTGATGACAGATTCGGAATCAGCGTGAAAAACTGCATCAAATAGGCTATTTTCTGAGCCAAAACCATTATAAGTTAACAACATTCTCTAGTAAGATCAACGAAAAACGGTTTAAAATCACTAGATTCAGCTGAGAGTGGTTTTTTAAGGTTCTAGATTTAAAATCTAGTCATCTACAGCTCTCTTCGTAAAATAAACCTGTTTTGAAAGCCGTTTCACTTACCAATCGCATCATCCGGATCAATAACGAGCTCGTCGGTGTAAACCCAATGCATAAAAGCTCGAAAAGTGTTGTACGTGAAATCAGAGATCTCGATTTGACTAGCGGGAATTGCTTTTATTTAATTGCTTTTTTAGTAACTCACTTTCCACTGCCTTCTGACCACAAATCGCCCAATCTTGACTTGAAATACGGACAACGGAGCTTCAGAATTGCCTTGAAACATTTGAAATTCGCATTTTCATTTTTCAATCCATTCATTTTTCAATCCGTTCATTTTTCAATTCACTCACTTTATGCGCGTAAATTGTGTGCCCGTCAACGAAAATTTTGATATCTGAAGAGTTTGGATCGTCGAAAGCCACGCGCATTGCGTCCACGATTGACGGTTGACGTGAGTACTCTGGAAAACACAGATTTATTGACAGTTCTAGTGGATAAGTGACAAATCTGAGTCCCCCAAATCCCTATCTGGAATACACAACGCATTTTCTAAAAGAGATTTCAAAGTTTCAAAGGTTTTAGAATTTTTTTTATTAGAGTACTCTGGAAAACGCAGATTTATTGACAGTTCTAGTGGATAAGTGACAAATCTGAGTCCCCCAAATCCCTATCTGGAATACACAACGCATTTTCTAAAAGAGATTTCAAAGTTTCAAAGGTTTTAGAAATTTTCTTATTAGAATTGGTGCTAAAAAGCGGAAATCTTGGTTCTACCGATGGTTAGAGCCAGAATTTGATTTAATTTAAAGAAAAACAACTCTTCTAACGATAATAGAGACATTTTGATGTCAAAAAAAGGTTCGATAAGTTAAAAAGATCAATTTACCGAATTTCGTTCCTCGCCAAGTGACTGCTGGCGAAGCAAAACAAGCAAACGCATCATCGACACAAGAAAAACGAGTCTCAACCGGATTTGGCACTGATTGTCCTCGAACATTGCCCCACATAAAAATCTGAAATGATCAATTAACCTTATTGATCAATTAACATCAATCAGACAATCAATAACCGTACTTTTGAAGACATTTCGCTTTTTGCCATTAGCAATCTAACTTTAAGCTCAAATTTCTTGGTGTTGGATTGTTGAATTCCAATATTTTTCGTATCATTAGATGCGCCAAGTCTTTCTCTATCGATTGATTAAAAAACTATTTAAATTGAACAAACCAAAGCCAAGATATTTGAGTTTAAAGTCAGATTGTCAATGGCAAAAAGGGGCGGGGCTCGTATATAAGCCCATAAGCCCCGCCCTCTTAGCCATTGGCAAACTAACTTTAAGCCGAATTTTGTGGTGTTCTTAGTGTCCAATTTCAATACTTTTAATATCATTAAATGCGCCAAGTCTTTCTCTATCGATTGGTAGAAAAATTATTTAAATTGAACAGCTCAACACCGAGAGATTTGAGTTTAAAGTTAGATTGCTAATGGCAAAAAGGGGCGGGGCCTCGCGTATAAAAGGTTCCACAATGGCCCCGTCGCTTTTGCCATTGGCAATCTAACTTTAAACTCAAATTTCTTGGTGTTGGACTGTTGAATTCCAATATTTTTCGTATCATTAGATGCGCAAAATCTTTCTCTATCGATCTGTAAAAAACTATTTAAATTTAAGCCAATGGCAAAGGGGCGGGGCTTAGCGGCTTATATACGCGGCTTATATATTTCCCATACGCCCCCTTTTGCCATTAGCAATCTAACTTTAAACTCAAATTTCTCGGTGTTGAGCTGTTCAATTTAAATAATTTTTCTACCAATCGATAGAGAAAGACTTGGCGCATTTAATGTTACGAAAAATATTGGAATTCGACACCAAGAACACCACGAGGGCTAAGAGAGCTAATGGCTAAGGGGGCGGAGCTTATGAGCTTATATACGAGGCCCCGCCCCTTTCCCATTAGCAATCTGACTTTAAGCTCAAATATCTTGGCTTTGGTTTGTTCAATTTAAATAGTTTTTTTATCAATCGATAGGGAAAGACTTGGCGCATCTAATGATACAAAAAAATATTGAAATTCGACACCAAGAACACAAAGATATTTGAGCCTAAAGTTAGATTGCTAATGGGAAAGGATCGGGGTATCAAATGACCCAAAATTCTGTCACAAGGGTTCAACTCTAACCTTTATATAATGTCAGTGTCAATTTTAGTATTAGAAAACTCTTTAGAACGTACTTTTCCTTTCTTATTTGAGACGACAGTGATGTTGCACATGTGAACGGCCGCAATTTCGACTATTCTGCAACTTTGAACTTGTTTCTTTGAAATCATCTTTTTCGAGTGTAGCACAGAGTGCAATCGATTTCAGAAAACTTCAAAAATTTGCTTGTATTTGTAGAATTTGTACTTTAAAGTTGAAATTTGTACTTTAAAGTTGAATTTTCAACTCACCGATCGATTTCCTTTGCCGTGTGTACGGGTTCGGTGAGATTTTTGCGCATTAAATTCCCGCCCAACTGCCCGCAACTGTTTGATCCCCAAACCCAGAGTTTTCCCTCATCACATAAAGCCAATGAATGTGCATAGCCACAAGCTATCTGAAGTTGAATTTGATAGAAGATTGAACGAAATTGGCTACTCCAGCTGGCTACAGTGCTCAACTGATTAGCGGGTTTAGTTGACTGTACTCACGTACTGTACCGTACTCTAGCTCTAGCTCTAGCTCTAGTTCTAGCTCTAGCTTTAGCTCTAGCTTTAGCTCTAGCTTTAGCTCTAGCTTTAGCTCTAGCTTTAGCTCTAGCTTTAGCTCTAGCTTTAGCTCTAGCTTTAGCTCTAGCTTTAGCTCTAGCTTTAGCTCTAGCTTTAGCTCTAGCTTTAGCTCTAGCTTTAGCTCTAGCTTTAGCTCTAGCTTTAGCTCTAGCTTTAGCTCTAGCTTTAGCTCTAGCTTTAGCTCTAGCTTTAGCTCTAGCTTTAGCTCTAGCTATTGTATCGAAAACAGTGGCTTAGTTAGATAAATAGTTAAATAACTGCTTTCACCTGACTGATTACAACTTTTGCTGATGTCAACGTCTCGACAATCACCGGTGTGCATTGATTAGAAACATTCCCGCAACCGATTTGTCCATTCTCATTGTAACCCCAGGCATAAACCTGGCAATTGACTTAGAATTGTAGAATTTCGACTTATAGAAATGTTATAAACGTTAGAAAGGTTATAGAGGCCGTTATAAACGTTATAGAGGCCGTTATAAACGTTAAAGGCGTTATAAACGTTATAGAGGCCGTTATAAACGTTATAAGCGTTATAAGCGTTATAAAGGTCGTTAAAAGCGTTATAGAGGCCGTTATAAACGTTATAGAGGCCGTTATAAACGTTATAGAGGCCGTTATAAACGTTATAGAGGCCGTTATAAACGTTATAAAGGTCGTTATAAACGTTATAAGCGTTATAAGCGTTATAAGCGTTATAAAGGTCATTAAAAGCGTTATAGAGGCCGTTATAAACGTTATAGAGGCCGTTATAAACGTTATAAAGGCCGTTATAAACGTTATAGAGGCCGTTATAAACGTTATAAGCGTTATAAGCGTTATAAAGGTCATTAAAAGCGTTATAGAGGCCGTTATAAACGTTATAGAGGCCGTTATAAACGTTATAGAGGCCGTTATAAACGTTATAAAGGTCGTTATAAACGTTATAAGCGTTATAAGCGTTATAGAGGTCGTTAAAAGCGTTATAGAGGCCGTTATAAACGTTATAAACGTTATAAACCTCGCTATAAACGTTATAAACGTTATAAATGTTTGAAAATTTTAATTTTCTTACATCTCCAGCTTCGGTGAGTGCCAGTGTGAAGTTATGCCCACAAGCAACTTCTTTAATAAAACGATCGTGAAGGTGAACGGATTTTGGGGAATCCTGATTGATCATTGAGCCAATACCTAAAAATTTACATCTAATATTTGATTAAACAGAATAAAACTAGATTCAGATTTTGCAAAAAGCCTTTTTGAGAAATTAGGAGAAATTAGGTACTGCTTTTTACCTAATTGCCCGCTGCTATTCAATCCCCAACAAAAAAGCTCTCCTCGATCGGAAAGCGCTGCTGAATGGTGGCCACCACAAGCGATTTGAATAATCTAAAATTCTATTTGAAAAAGTTTAGCCATATCCAAGTACAGTCGACTCTCTCTATAACAGAAAACTCTAAATCATGAAATTTTGGCCCTGGCCAACGCTAAGCTATATAAAACGGCACTCGATATAACAGAAAGGTCTATGTCGTAGCTGTTTATGAACTCACTGATTCAGCCGATGAATCAGTGAGTCTAAGGGCGTCCAATCATCATTTATTTGGTATTATTTAACGCAGAATCATTGATAATTATGTTAAATTTTTTAAATTAGAAAGATTGGATAAAAAGAAAAAAAATTACGAGGCTTCAAAGTTTTCTCTTGAACAAACAGTTCTTTTTTACTCTAATTTTTTTTCTATTCATCAAATCTTGTTAATTTAAAAAATTTAACATAATTATGAATGTTTCTGCGTTGAATGATACCAAATAATTGATGATTGGATGCCCTTAGACTCACTGATTCATCGGCTGAGCTTCCTAAGCGGCTGAGCTTCTTAAGCGGCTGAGCTTCCTAAGCGGCTGAGCTTCCTAAGCGGCTGAGCTTCCTAAGCGGCTGAGCTTCCTAAGCGGCTGAGCTTCCTAAGCGGCTGAGCTTCATAAGCGGCTGAGCTTCATAAGCGGCTGAGCTTCATAAGCGGCTGAGCTTCATAAGCGGCTGAGCTTCATAAGCGGCTGAGCTTCATAAGCGGCTGAGCTTCATAATCGTCTACGGAGATCTCGCCGATTTTGTATTAAACAGTGTAGCGCCCGCAATTTTTAAATTAAACTCACAAATTTGTAAGCAATCGATGCAGAATTGAATTCGCTACAAACATTATTGTCCTCATACATTAAACGGCTTGCTCTACTAGAAAGGTTTGCCAAAAAATTTCATTCATAATCGGCTCGACATATATAGCAGAAAGGTCTAGATAACAGAAAGCTCTATATGACAGAAAACTATGTAATGGAATAAAATTTGGGCTCTGGCCGACGCTAAGCTATATAAGACTGCATTCTATTTAACAGAAAGCTCTATAGAATGGAAAGCTCTATATAACAGAAAGCTCTATATAACAGAAAATTATCTAATGGAATGAAATTTTGACCCTGACCTACGCTAAGCTATTTAAAACGGCATTTTATATAGCATTTTTTTTAATCCCTTTCCATTCCGTTATAGAGAGAGTCGATTATATTATATTCATCAAATCTTATAAACTATTTAAAATGATAAGGATTTGTTATGAATTTACCTTTTGTCCACTCAATGCAGTGACAAGTACAGGTGTTGGACAGTGTTGATTGTTGTGACCAAGTCCTAGAATTTATAAAAATTTCATCAATTCAGCAAGAATTTAATGATATTCAGCTAATGTTTTTTTGATTTAAAGATTGATTTAAAGAGAGCCGTTTCACTGAAAGAGAGCCGGTTCTATGAAAGAGAGCCGGTTCTATGAAAGAGAGCCGGTTCATTGAAAGAGAGCCGGTTCTATGAAAGAGAGCCGGTTCTATGAAAGAGAGCCGGTTCATTGAAAGAGAGCCGGTTCTATGAAAGAGAGCCGGTTCTATGAAAGAGAGCCGGTTCATTGAAAGAGAGCAAGTTCTATGAAAGAGAGCCGGTTCTATGAAAGAGAGCCGGTTCTATGAAAGAGAGCCGGTTCATTGAAAGAGAGCAAGTTCTATGAAAGAGAGCCGGTTCTATGAAAGAGAGCCAGTTCACTGAAAGAGAGCCGGTTCTATGAAAGAGAGCCGGTTCTATGAAAGAGAGCCGGTTCTATGAAAGAGAGCCAGTTCTATGAAAGAGAGCCAGTTCACTGAAAGAGAGCCGTTTCACTTACCCAATTGCCCAAAAGAGTTATGCCGCCAAGCAAAAACTTCACCGCTTTCTGATAAAGCTAACAAATGAGGACCTAAATTTTCGGTTTTTTATTTGTTATCGAGGAATTCTTGAACTTATCTGAAGCTTTTTATCCATTTTATCTCACCTGATCCATACGCAAATTGCTTTATCCGTTTCCCGCAAAGCAAATCGATCTTTAGTGGTTCAAAAGAGCCAGATGGAACTCCTGAAATTATCAAATCAAGCGATCACGCTAATTTTCCGCAATCCTTGAAGAGTTTTCTATTCGATTTTCAATTTAATTGTCAATCTGGAAGGCACAAGAGAAGTTGTTGTGTCTAGAAAAGAAAAAAATTTGGTCGAGCCTGAGGTCGAACCCGGGATCGAACCCTGGATCATTAGCTCATTAGATCCGTGGTCAAGATCGCTAGCCACTTAGCTTAATTGTCAATCTGGAATGCACAAGAGATTTTGTTGTGCTTAGAAATTTGCTTAGAGAAGAAAAAACATTTGGTTGAACCCGGGATCGAACCCTGGATCATCAGATCATTAGATCGGTGGTCAAGATCGCTAGCCACTTAGCTTAATTGTCAACCTGGAAGGCACAAGAGATGTTGTTGTGTTTAGAAAAGAAAAAAATTTGGTCGAGCCTGAGGTCGAACCCGGGATCGAACCCTGGATCATTAGCTCATTAGATCGGTAGTCAAGATCGCTAGCCATTTAGCTAAACGATGAGATTCGAGATTTCGCTGTTTACTTACCCAACCAACAGCAATAATTGGTGCCTAGGCCATAAACTTGATCATCTTTCGTGTGAATGAGCGCCTCGCAACCAGCACTTCCAAAAACGATGCATTCCTGGAAATAAAAGCTTTTAATTAAAGCTTTCAACAAAAGCTTTCAAAGCTATCAAATTCCTTTATCATTTAGCATTTAAACTTATTAAAAAACTTCTAAAACTTACTTTTATATTATTAACAAATTCTGGATCCAATAATGACAATAAAGTCCATCTTTTTATCTCCGACATTTCAGCTTTTTGACCTCTATTCTACCAACTAATCTACCTAAAATAGATAAATTAAATAAAAAATAACAAATAGATATATCAAATACTTTATAGAATAGAAAAAAAGCTCAAAAATCCATCAAAAATTTTGAATTTAAACGTTTTTTGAAAGTTTTTTACAACAAATTTCTTGATCAAGATAATTTTATGAAATTCTTAAAGTGTTTTCTAATCAATTTTCAATTTAATTGTCAATCTGGAATGCACAAGAGATGTTGTTGTGTTTAGAAAAGAAAAAAATTTAGTTGAGCCCGGAGTCGAACCCGGGATCGAACCCTGGATCATTAGCTCGTTAGATCCGTGGTCAAGATCGCTAGCCACTTAGCTTAATTGTCAATCTGGAATGCACAAGAGATTTTGTTGTGCTTAGAAATTTGTTTAGAGAAGAAAAAACATTTGGTTGAACCCGGGATCGAACCCTGGATCATCAGATCATTAGATCGGTGGTCAAGCTCGCTAGCCAGTTAGCTTAATTGTTAATCTGGAATGCACAAGAAAGTCTCTAGTGCTTAAAAAATTATTTAAAACAAAAAACAAAAAATTTGATCCAATGTCCCGGTATCGAACCCGGGACATTGGATCGGTCAAGATCGGTGACCAAAATCGTTAGCCATTCGGCTAAAATGATGGTATTTAAATGGAAATGTAGTAGATTGATGTCTGCAAACAATCTAAAACATGATCAAATCAAAATTTCTATTTTATAAGTTTATTTGAAAGTTTTTAGAAAAAAATCCTTGATTAAGGTAATTTTTTTGAAATTTTTTAAGTTTTTCTGTTTTATTTTGAATTTAATCGTCGATCTGGAAGTCACAGAACAAAAAAAATTGGTTAAATGAACCGGGAAAGGTGGGTAATCTGGATCTGGATCTGGATACTGTAGCCTTTAGGCATACTGTAACTAGGATTACTGTAACCGTCAAGCATACTGTGCTAGGATTACTGTATCTTTTAGGCGTACTGTAGCTAGAATTTCTGTAGCCGTTAGACATATGGTAGCCTAGGATTCCTGTAGCTAGGATTCCTGTGGATAGGACTACTGTAGCTAGGACTACTGTAGCTAGGATTCCTGTGGATAGGATTACTGTAGCTAGATCTACTGTAGCTAGGACTACTGTAGCTAGGATTCCTGTGGATAGGACTACTGTAGCTAGGACTACTGTAGCTAGGATTCCTGTGGATAGGATTACTGTAGCTAGATCTACTGTAGCTAGGACTACTGTAGCTAGGATTCCTGTGGATAGGACTACTGTAGCTAGGACTACTGTAGCTAGGACTACTGTAGCTAGGATTCCTGTGGATAGGATTACTGTAGCTAGATCTACTGTAGCTAGGACTACTGTAGCTACGACTACTGTAGCTAGGACTACTGTAATCGTTAGACAGTCTGTACCCAGGATTCCTGTAGCCGTTAAGCATACTGTATCTAGGATTGCTGTAACTGTTTCCTGGCTTACTGTAGCCACCATCTTTACTCTTTACATCTTTACTAGAAATGTAGTTTGTGCTCTTTTATAAACGCACCCTTCTGGCGCACTAAATTCTTTAATTTTCTCGCTTCTTGTGGAGAAAGATTGAAAATTGAGGTGTCAGATAGGTTGTGTTTACGAAAAAGGGAAAAACTAAGCCCAATCAAATTCGGTTTTCAATCTGCAAAGGTTTCCCTGAGAAATCAGCAAATCAAAACCACAAATCAGCAAATGCAAAAAGCAATATTTGTGATCTGGAAGTCACAGAACAAAAAGAAATGGTCAGAATGGGGGAAAGGTGGTTAAATAAAAAAAAGGGTTTGGAGTTTGATGATTTCCCCGTTTTTTTCTACAAATTTCAATCATTTTCAACATTTCAAATTTCAAAAACGAAAGAAAATGTATTCTTTTTTTCTCTTTTCTATAGAAAGAGTATTTTCTCGTTTCTTTGTTCAAAAAAAAGAAGAATCAGGGAAAGAATTGGCTTAAAAATCAGCGAAAAAATCGAGTTCATTAGCCAAAAAACGCTTTTTTTCTTTCTTTTCTTAAAAATCGTTAAATCTCTAGTCACTTCTTTCTTTTCTTTTTTAAAATGCTTAAATTTCTAAAGAATTCTAGAATACTAATACAAATAAAATACAAATTTCACAAAATTTTAACAATTTTAAGCTTTTATGTAAAAAAAAAAGTGAAAAGAGCGAAAATTTCGTTAAAATAAAATTTTTGCTCAAAAAATCAGCTTCAAAACGAAGCTATAAGCAAAAATAAAAGAAGATAAACAAGATAAACAAAAAGAATCACTAAAATTTATCAAAATTTCAACTCTAGACGGTTTATTAAACATTTTTTCAACGTTTTTTCAAGAAATTCCTTGATTAAGCCAATTTTCTGTAATTTTTGTAGAATTTTTCATTCGATTTTGAATTCAATCATCGAATTGGAACGCACAATGAAAAGTTATAGTGTTTAGAAAATGTTTAGAGTTAAGGAAAAATTTTGTCGTACTTGAGATCGAACTGGGGCCAAGATCGATGGCCAAGCTCGGCCAAGCTCAGCCAAGCTCAGCCAAGCTCAGCCAAGCTCAGCCAAGCTCAGCCAAGCTCAGCCAAGCTCAGCCAAGCTCAGCCAAGCTCAGCCAAGCTCAGCCAAGCTCAGCCAAGCTCAGCCAAGCTCAGCCAAGCTCAGCCAAGCTCGGCCAAGCTCAGCCAAGCTCGGCCAAGCTCAGCCAAGCTCAGCCAAGACCGCTAGCCACTCGGCTATTCAAATCATGATCTTTATGATGGGATTTAAGTAGAAATTTAAAGGTTTAGATTGAGATTTTCTTTTGGAAGTGAAGATTCAAGGGTTTGATTGAGAAAAATCGAGTAGTAAAAGAAAGAGTGAGAAAAAGGAAAAAAAAAAAGGTAAGCTCTGGGTAAACAGGGGAATTTCTTGAAGGAATGATGTTTACAGAAGTGATTTCACGCCGAAAAATTTGGATATTCAGTCGTTTGAATGGAGAAAAGTCATTTAAAAACCAAATTTGTAGCGAAAAGGAACGAAATTGTAGAGAAAAGGAAATAAATCTGTAGAGAAAAGGAAAGGTAAACTTGGATTGACTTTAAAGGTTGACTTTAAATGCTCAGAAGATTCGGGAATGGACTTGGATGTTTTAAGAAGTCAAAAACAAGAGAACAACATCTTTTATGGTAGTTTCTTCTTTGAAAAGCTGAAGAAACTCAATTCCTCTAAATTTCGTTATTCAATTCGTTATTTAATTCTTTTTCCGACAAAAAATAGATCCAATTAGCGAGAGGAAATTTGGCCTTTTTTTTTAAAAATCAAACAAGATTTATTTCTAAAGAAAATTTGTTGTAAAAAATTGAATTTTTACATAAATTCAGTTAAAATCTTGAATTGAGACAATGAAAAGAACAAAAGAAAAGACTTTAAGCCAATGTTTTCTCAGAGAAAATAAAGAGAAACGATTTCAAGAGCTTTTTTCAAGAAACACACTCAAAAGTTGAGAAACCAAATTTGTAGAGAAAAGGAATGAAAATTGTAGAGAAAAGGAATCAAATTTATAGCACAAAGGAACCAAATTTGTGAAGCTCAACGTCTAGAGAAGCTCAAGGTCTAGAGAAGCTCAAGGTCTAGAGAAGCTCAACTAAAGATCTAACCTAGCTTACAATTACTTTTCTAGGCCAAGCCAAGTCAGCTCAAAATTTTTCGCTTTTGCCTAAGCCTTTTCGAACAAACTAGGGTTCAAAAAAAGGCGAAAATCGATCTAAACCTTTGGCTTTAAACCTGGCTTTTTTAGAATAATTCTAGAATTTTTGAATTGGGGTTAATAGAGGCTAAAAAAACGACAGTAAACTAATCTAAACTCTTGTACAATAAAGCACTTTTGATTCACTTTTTTTTTCAATCTTATTTATAGACTAAATGATCGGCTTAATTTGATTAAATCAAAGTAATAATTGACACAAAAATCTATAGAAAACAAAGCCTAATGTTTGTTTTTTTTAAAGTTTATTTTCAAAAAACAAAATGACCAAAAAAAAGCTCTTTTTTGAGGAGTGTCGAGCCGCTTTATGCGCTTTTTTTGAGAGCCAGTGGTTTAGGAAAAAAAAGGCTCTCGAACGGAAATTGGATCAGAAAAAGTGGGGGTCAAAAAAAAGGAAATCGGAAAAAGAAAAGGAAAAGATGAAGAAAATGGGAAAACGAATGGAAGAGGAAGGAGAAGAGAGGGAAAGGGAAGATGAAGGGCCCATAGGGGACACTCTGGGGAGAAGAGAATCGCTGTTGCATAGTGGTGGAAGAACTAATCTAAAGTCTACGAACTCTAGAACTCTTGGACTCTAGGACTCTTGGACTCTGGGACTCTAGGACTCTAGAACTCTAGAACTCTGGGACTCTATGACTCTAGGACTCTAGGACTCTAGGACTCTAGGACTCTAGGAATCTAGAACGCTAGGACTCTAGAACTGAATTCTAGAACTCTTGGACTCTAGGACTCTAGGACTCTCTAGCTTTGCTAAGAGACATCTAAACTACCGTAATCCTTCGTCAGTTCGGCTAAGGCAAAGTGAGGCAACCGTAATCGAACTCAAACTGAGCTCTGACTTGACCAATGTTATTATCATCAGCTTAAACTAGAAGCCTTGGATTTCCCTTCAGACCTTTAGAGCTAGTTCCAGACCAGTTCAAGCATCAATCATAATCGAGATCTGGTTTCTAGTTGATCGAATCAGGATTCCAGCCATTTTCCAAATACTTTATAGAATAGAAAAAAAGCTCAAAAATCCATCAAAAATTTTGAATTTAAACGTTTTTTGAAAGTTTTTTACAACAAATTTCTTGATCAAGATAATTTTATGAAATTCTTAAAGTGTTTTCTAATCAATTTTCAATTTAATTGTCAATCTGGAATGCACAAGAGATGTTGTTGTGTTTAGAAAAGAAAAAAATTTAGTTGAGCCCGGAGTCGAACCCGGGATCGAACCCTGGATC